GGGGGCAGATGTGAAAAACTGCTGAAGGGGGGGGGGAGGCTCATTTCTCAGAGGGCGAAAGTATTTGCAAAATGCGTCCCTTTCCCATTTCAGCTCAGGGCTGCTGCAATGTAATCTACCGAGACTTCTGGAGCAGAGCAAACAGACAAATTCCCTGCCTAAAAATAACAATGGAATGCTTTCATGCAGCAAAGCCTGTTATACACTCCATTTATGACAAGAGAGGCCTGTATTCTCAGGAGCCGTTTGGCCGCGGGGGGGGGGGGGGGGGGGGGGCAAGCCTACCCACCTCCCGCCCTCCGGTTCTGTGGCTCCCAGACTCCCACTCATTTCATCCGTTGGCAGGTGAATGCCTTCCAAATGGGCCTGTTTAACAGGCACCGTCCTGTTGTCCCTGCTGGGCTTGATGTACAGAGATGGCTGAACGTTCATCCAATACTGAAATCCTTGGCTCCCGGCTGTACGGGTTTGGCTGGCGCTGTTATGACTTTGGAACCATATCTCAAAATGTGACTACTGCCCTTCTGGGGAGGGGGAGGCTCTGCTGTGCCGGGGAAAGGTGTTGCACGACAATCCTAATGCAGAAATGTGAGGACATGAATACCCGAGCGTAAGCATATGGAGCAGAGGTCCATCAGTGGCTCTTAGCCTCAAGAGGTAGATGGAACACTCTGTCTGGGGCAGTGATGCTCTGTCTTCTTGGTGCTTGGAGGGCAACAGAGGGAGGGCTTCTGAAGTCCTGGCCCCGCTGGCGGACCTCCTGAGGGTGCCTGGATTTTGGCCACAGTGTGACACGGAGTGTTGGACTGGATGGGTCATTGGCCTGATCCATTCTTATGTCTGGGGCAGTGATGCTCTGTCTTCTTGGTGCTTGATGGGCAACAGTGGGAGGGCTTCTGGAGTTCTGGCCCCGCTGGTGGACCTCCTGATGGCTCCTGGGTTTTGGCCACTGTGTGACTCGGAGTGTTGGTCTGGATGGGCCATCAGCCAGATCCAATATGGGTTCTCTTATGTTCTTATGAGCATGGGCTTTCTAGGCTTAGAAAATAAAAATGGGTTTTGTAATGCACGGCTTTATTCCCACCCCTCAAGCCTCTTCCTTTGGAAGAAGGCTGCTAAGGCCCACGAATGGCATCCAGCTTGATGTAGTAGAATGGAAGGATGCCAAGAAGCCGAGTTTCTCCATCTCCACTGAAGCCGAAAGGTGGGAGACTCAGGACAAACAAAAGGAAGTACTTCACACAGCACTTTGTTAAACTGTGAACCTTGCTGCCACAGAATGTGATGATGGCGGCGAACTTGGAGAAAAGAAGAGTGGACAAATTCATGGAGGATGGGGCTATCAGTGGCTGCGAGTATATGATAGATATTTACTCCCTCCAGGACCGCAAAAGCTCAGTAATTTATCACAATTAGCAAATCTATTCATCTGACTTGAATGCCATACCATTTTGTTAAGCTTTCTGGTTTTTCTCTCCCCAAAGAGAAAGCTGACATTTTTTAACTAAAACAAATCAAGTTTGTGTCATAGGTGATATAATTCAAATAGGCAGTGTTGAAAAATGACTTAAATTACCCTCCTAAAATACTTAAGAGTCCAACCTTCCTTATTAAGCAAATGAATTGCTCCTGGTGTGATTGGCTGAGAGTGCCTTCCTCCATCATATTTTATATATGCAAATTATGGTTGCCAACCTCCAGGTAGTGACTGGATATCTCCTGGGATTACAACCGATCTCTAGGCAACAGAAATAAGTTCACCTGGAGAAAATGGGCATTTTGGAGGGTGGACTCTATGGCATTATACCCCACTGAAGTCCCTCCCCTCCTGAAATCCCACCCTCCTCAGGTTCCACCCCAAACTCTCTGGGTATTTCCCTAACCAGGGCTGGCAACCTTAATGTTAATAATGAAATGCTCATTAATTCCAGTCATTGTTTCCTTGTATCATATAGGTTCAGGTAGAGATGTGAAGGCCCGGAAAAAAAACGGAAAAATTCGGGGGGGGGGGGGACGGGTTTTTTTCCGAGCTTCAAAATTTCCGGAAATTTTACATCTCTAGGTGAGAGGATGCTGTGGCAGTCACCGTGTGCATGGGCTTCCTTGAGGCAGCTGGTCAGTTGATGTGTCAACAGAATAGGAATCTGGTCTAATAGTAGTATGGCTCTTTTTATGTATATAGGCACATGGGTCTAAAGGTAAAACTCCCAGTACCAAGAACACAAGCCACGTAGAGTATGTGTGTGTGTAGCGTGATATCAAGTCGTGGCCGATTTATGGCAACCCCGTAGAGATTTTAAGGCAAGAGACTTTCAGAGGGGGCTTGCCCTTGCCTGCAACTGCATAACCAACATGGACTTCCTTGGCGGTCTCCCATCCAAGTACTCACCAGGGCCGGCTCTGCTTAGCTTCCGAGATCTGGCAAGACCAGGCTAGCCGGGGCCCTCCAAGTCAAGGCCAGAGACGAACAGAGGTGGTTTGCTGTGTTCCCTGCCTCTGCATAGTAACCCGGGACTTCCTTGGTGGCCTCGCCCATCCAAGGGTTACCAGCCCCCAGGTGGGAGCGGTGGATGCCCTGAACTGGCCGGCGAGGGGGAGCCCCACCCCCAACTGCCACAACTCCGTGCAACATCCCCAGTGTGATGACGTCACTCAGAAGTGCTGTCATCCTGCTTGGGACATCATGCGGTGATGCTCTGGTATTTTGGGCAGAATTCAATGGTAATTTATTTATTTATTTATTTAGTATCCTGCCCTCCCCGCTGAGCAGGCTCAGGGCGGCTCACAGGAGATATATATATATATA